GACTTTTTAATAAATGAGTACTATATTACAATATTAATATAAGTAAGGAAATAATTCATAAGTCTTATTTAATATTTATTCTTAATAATAAGATTAAAATAAATAAATATAATTAAAGAATTCAAATATATATCTTTATCTAAGACTAGATTTTTATTTGAAAAGTGAAATCTGAGATCTTTAATATTTAAAATAATATAATTTAAGATTAATATAATAAATCCAAATTATGATCAGAAGTAGTACTTTTAAATAATATAATAACTATAAAGTTTGATTCTGATCTCAGACACAGTTTCATAGTCAGTCTAGTATCTTATAGTATCTTAGTAGTATTCTGATAATAATATCTATTAATTATACAGTTACTGAGTAGTATTATAATAAGAATGATATAATTTCTGATAAAGAGTTCAAAGCTGTCAGAAATGAATATTTTTCAGATATTAAAAAAGCTAAAACAGACTGCTGAAATAAATTTCTTGAAGAAGCATAAGAAAAAGAAGTTTTTAAAGCTTTTAACTATACTAAAACAAGAAGTGTAGCAAATCTTCTAATCTTAGAATATGAGTTTCAGAATGAATCATATACAGCAAACTCTTTTGAGAAAAAATATCAAACTTTTATAAGAACTCTCTTTCAAAACTCATCAGATTCAGATTCAGAGAAAGAGAATATATCACTTCTCAACTATATTGATGAAAATGACTGGGAATGATTTAATTGTACTCAAGATAAATTAGAGTCAGCTATCTTCTCAAGTTCAGTTAAGACTGCTGCAGAACCTGATTCAATTAATCACTTAATTATTCAAAATATATACTTCTACTTAAAGAATGAATATTTTGAGCTCTTTTTCAATCTCTTAAAAAATGAATATTATTCTGAATGCTGAAGAGAAGTCACTGAAGTGATTCTTGTAAAATTTAATAGAAAAACTTTAATTTCTAAGTTATATAGAGTAATATCTCTATTGAACTATCTAGAAAAGGTTTTAGAAAAGATAATAGCTACTCAACTATCTTTTATAAGCTCTATCAGTAATTCTCTTTTATTCAGTGAATAAATAAGAGATAGAAAACAGTGTTCTGTAATTAACACTGTTCTCTCAGTTATTTATAATATTCAAATAGCAAAGTATGAAGATCTGATCTCAACTGCAGTTTTTATTGATATAAAAGAAGCATTTAATTATGTTTCAAAGTCAAAGTTAATTCAGATATTAAAGATATTAAAACTGTCACTTTCTCTAATAAAATAAGTTAACTGTTTTATATTTAAAAGAATTATATAACTTTTCTTTAATAAAATAAAATAAGACAAGACTGAGATAAAAATAGAAGTACTGTAAGAATCTTCAATCTCACTTATTTTATTTACAATATACACTGTATATCTATTCAAAAATAGAAATATGAGAATAGTGTAATCTCTGAGTTATATGAATAATATTGATCTAGTCTACAGCTTAAAAAATATCAAAGAGAATTTAAAAGTAATTAAAGAAGCTGCAAAGAAAATCTTTATTAAAGCAGATATCAATCAAATTTAATTTAATATGAATAAAACTGAGTTAATTCATTTCTTTTCTAGATTCAATAACAAAGAACTATCTCTAACTCTTTTAAATAGAGAGATTAAACTCAGTGTAAATATTAAATAATTAGAAGTATGATTAAACTTCAAGTTGAATTTTAAATATTATATTTAACAAAGAACTGTCAAGATAGAAAGACTATTAAATAATATAATCAGACTATCAAATACAGAGAGAGATCTATTCTTCCAGACTATAAGACAGTTATATATAGCCTGTATTACATCAGTAGCTGATTATGAAGTTCAAGTTTAATAAAATAATCAAGAGAATTTCACTGAACTTTTTCAAAGTCTGTAAAACAGAGTCTTGAGAAGAATTCTGAGAGTATTCAAATCATCTTCTATTAAAGCAATAAAAATTGAAGCTTCAATTTCTTCTTCTACTATTAGATTTAAAAAGACCTGTATAAACTATACTCTGAGAGTTATAAAGATAAGCTTAAATTATATAATCAGAGAAAGAGTCTCTTCTTTATTTTCATTAATTAACTCTGAAAATGAACTGAATTGAAATAGATTTCTTGATTGAAATGAAAATAATTCTTTAAAGAAAATGTCTTCTTAACTGTACAGACTATACTCTCTGATTAAAAATCAATTTTTCTCTTTAAATATTGAAAAAGTTTATCATGAGAAGTTATCTCTCTGAAGAGAAAAGCTTGAATCTCTTATAGACTTATAAATAAGTGAACTATTAAAAGAGAAAGAATATAAACAGTATTTAAAGAGAATTTTTACAATTAATATAAAAGACTCTATTCTGATTTATTCAGATCACTTAAAAAATGAGAATTTGAATAAATTAGACACAGACATTACTTATACTAAAGATAATATTAATTTTATCTCAGATTTCTGAAATCTAGACTGTGAATCTGAAGTCTTTGATACTGAACTATTTATAATAGTGAAAGCTTTTAAACTCATTGAAATAAAATCTTATAAAAGAGAAAATAGTTTAAAAGAGATATAAATATTCTCTGATAGTCAAGCTACTTTAAAAAGACTTAGAAATAGTCAGATTTATAATAATTAAATAAATCTTGAACTGATCTTACACTCTGTTTTAAAAATTCAAAAGAGAAGAATATTAAAGCTGATAATTCATCTACACTGAGTTTCTACTTATATGAATATTTATGATAATGAATTGACTGATTCAGCTGTAAAAAAGAGTGTAGAATTAAGCAGATCTATTCAAAAAATTATATTCTGATCTTTTATAAAGAGAAAAATAAAAGAATCTTATTTAGATAAGTGAAATGAAAGCTGACAGAAATAAAAGAAGAGTATATATTATTCAAGATTTAAAATAAAACTCAAGTGAAAATCTTATTTAATTAAATATAAAAAGAAAATATTCTCATCTATAATACAGCTGAAACTAGAATATAACTATTTTAAATCTTATATATAAAGATTTAATAATAGATTTGACTCAATAGAATACTTATTCTGCAATGTAAATAAGAATTCTGAGTATATTATAATGTACTGTGTATTATACAATAGTCTCAGAGTCAGATTGAAAGAGAAATATAATCTAAATTAATTAAATATAAGATTCTTATTCTTAACTGAGACAGAAATTAAATACTTAATAGACTTTTTATCAGAAACTTAAGCAGTTATAAGAAAATGACTAAATTCAGAATTATCTGAATATGAAGAGAAGAAAATCAATCAGATATAATCTGTTAAAACAGTTATATACTATCTTTTAATAATTTATTTTATTACAGTCTCTTTTTACTTTATCTTTTTCTTTCAATTTCTTTCTATCTATCTATTTAATATGTCTATCTTTAAGACTGTATTCTCTTTTTCTTTATCATAATATTATTAAATAATTTCAAAGTATCAGAAGATGTTAAAACACTGTAATTTATAAACAGTTTTTATATTCTGAGCTGGAATTTTCTGATTTTATATATCTGAAATTGATGAATGTATAATAGTTAACTTTACAGATATAGAAAAAACTCTGAGAACTAAAAGTTCTTAGATAGATGTTATAGTCTCTAACTGTATACATCTATAATTAAAGAATAATAATAATAATAAGTAGTATTATAATAATATTAGAAAGTTCTACATTATCTTAATACTATCTTGATATTTAATATTCAGTAATGTGTTGCTGAATATAATGATGAAACATGTGTTATGATTGGCAACACATGACACAGGTGAAATGATGGATTCACAGTGTAATCACTGTAAATTAACTCTATGTTCTTCCCATATGGTTCTCTACATGATGAATTGAAATTGTTCTCAATGTAGTTTAGCTTATGACCTATTTCATACTAGCCTGATCACACGACTGACTGATCGTTAATTCAGTGGTAAAACAGCACAATCTTTTCCTGGCGGCGGCAAATTGCGGAGATAACGCCGCCCCGACAAACTTCCCGCAGACAACCTTCTACATCCAGAACGACTGTGTCCCTTGCCATGTAGGAAGCAACCTTCGGAATGGCCTCTCCCAACCACCCTGACCCGCTGCCACCACCTGTATCAGAGCCATTCTGTGGTCCCAAGCCGACACATTCACAGGACAATACCCCTGGGACGGCGGATGAAGATGGTGGACAGCTTCAACAAAACATTCACCCCTTTGATTTCCGCCAGTCGCCTTTCCGTCCGTTCTTCACGGTCATACAAGACGCTCACTCATCGGAATACCACCACCCCACCGTGCACTACATATTCTCGGACGACGATACAGACTTGATAACGGAAGCTGCCCTGCGTGCTCTGGAAGCTGGCCAGGGGACTAACGCTTTACGGGGTTCAAGCAATGCGCATCTGAGAGAAGTAGATGAAGATGAGCAATCAGGGGCACATACCAAAACTTCCTCGCTGCCTCCCCCAGTGCCTGGTGTACAAGAACACTACATAGTCGTCGACATACATCCGTCTCATATCGACGCTGCTCGGAATCATCTTGCGGAATCCTCAAATATCAATACAAGAGATCCATCCAACTCTACGGAGGGCCTAGGACCCACCTCTGCAGCCTCCCCACCTACCAACGAGACCTTACAACCCCCGTACCCCTTTACCATATCCTCCGCCCACAGTCTAAGTCCGTCCTGGCAAATCCTCAATAGCCGTCTTTGCACAGCGCGCACTTTCGATTCGTCCACAAACAGCCCTACGGCCGCCTCGGCCTCAGCAAACAACCGCCCCTCGTCCCCGGTTGGCGGCCTGATGCTTGAGATAGAAGGCACTTCTGGTGTCGGTTTTACCTCGTCTCTTCACCGCTCCCAGGACCACCAGCATCGCTTGGAAGAGATGATGGAACAGTTTGAGAAGCGGATGGAAGAGTTGCGGCAGATTATTGCAGCGGGAGAAGTCTATCTCGACGGCACGGGTCGGTATGAGGAGTCGGGCGGGATAGAAGCTGGGACCGGGCTGGAGGAGGGGGTTTGAGGAGTGATATGGAGCCAACTGTTTATATTCCGCGGTGGAGCGACCCTGGAGGGGTTCATGGGCAGCGAAGCAAGTCATTTTCAGGCTTGGACGAGTCCCCATATAGTTTTCGATTATGTTACTATCACGACGTCTCTTTTATTTTGCACTGATTTATAGCGTGGCCAATAGGTGGTTTTATTTACTTATCCTAACTTAGACTACAGGAGGCGTTTGATATGGGAAGATTTCTGGTTAATTGAATGTTGTTTTAATTTCGATATGCTTCTCCTCCCTGTTGTTTGACCTGCATTGGAGATGTAAATATTTAGAACCACGGTTTAGATTGGATAAATATAATGCACTTCATTTCAATCCTCCGCAGAGCTCATTATAAATCTGGGGGACGTCATCCGATAATATCTAGGAGTCAATTATTATAGTAGTTATTGAAGGAATTCACGAATGCAACCGACGCGGGAATACTAGATAAAATTTACTTGAGAAGTGAGGACAACATGACAATTCTCTGCATAATCGTCTCGCCAATGATACCCAATGACGCCTACTGACTCCCGTGACAGATTGTAAAGCAGAAAAGCAACAAAGAATCCCCGAGAATCTAAGTACTACACAGAGGTTAAAACCAAATGAAAGGGGACAGAAAGAATGAAAGGTAAAAGAAAAAAGAAAGTAAAAGAAAAACAAAAAGGAAAGAATAGAAAAGAAAACTATACTATCCCTGCCAACAATGAAATCAAGTAGGGTGCCGTCTTAACCTCCGGCCTTGTGCGAGCTGGTTCTCGTACTGTATCGACAAGGGAATATTTTCCCCGCCCTCTGTGATCATCCCTAGACCATTCAGCGTGGGGTTCCTCCTACCCATGAGCTTTTGAGGTAATTTACTATCTCCTATAATAATGCCAGACGTAGCTAGCGGTGATGATGTAATACGTCTCTTCGATGGAGGAGGAATGAGATCTTTACACGCAGTATCTCCAGGGGCTTCATCTGGGCATGATCTCAGTGATGACGAAAAATCGGTAGAATGTGAGAAAGAAGCGCTAGAGAGCTGTTTCGCGGCGACGTTTATATCGACCTCCCTAAGCCCCGCAGACGAGGATGATGTTGGCTTGACGTTCATATTGGTGGGAGGACTTTTGGATCCTACCTCGTTGCCGCCATCTTGGTATACCATGGCCTTAGTGGGCGACTTAATAGGAGAGCATAGCCCAGGAGAAGAAGGCACAGTGGCAGAAGCGTCGGTATTCGTTGAATTTTCATGTTGTTCCTTGGTTCCCCGCATCCTAGCAATGAGGGAATCATGTGGTTCGGTTCGCGGCAGCGTGGATGGGTAGTCATACTGCGTTTTTTCAGGGGTCTCTCCAGTCTTGGTATATTCTGTAAGCGACTTGGATTGAATGTTTGATTGCAGCTCCGCAAGGGGTTTCCTAATATCCACGGTGAGATTGTCAATGGGCTCTTGAATTACTTCATTCTCATCAAGAATTTCATGCCGGAATGTTGTAGCTTGGGTGCCGAACACATCCAGGGTGTTATGAATGTCCTTGTATGATTCACGAATATTACATCCAAGATTCTCTAAGGTGGAGATCCGTGACTCGTGATGGCTATCATTTTGTGACCTTGCTCTCATGACGAAAGCATCTAAAGCTTGCATTTGTGTAGCAATTCCTTCCATCTGAGTGTTAACAATCATCTCGGTCTCCCGATGTACCGCTCTCGCTGTTTCCTGGATTTTATTATTTCGGGCACCAAAATTCTGGCATAGGTCAGTATCGATGTATAGCTGGGTGGTAGGATGTAAATAACGTACCATCCAGTCATCATCGATCCGTTTTTGAACTGTTGACTCCGATGCAAGAGCTTCCGTGATAACTTTATTCTCTTGCAACTCCCACTCGTCCATGTGCTCGCCGAATTCAACGTCGGCCTCTTTTAGTAAAGCGTGCGAAGCTGCCATATCCGATCGGATGTTGTTCACCTTCGTGTCCAGTCGTGCCGACTGTGTTTTACCTGACTTATCCAAGAGCATTTTTATACCCGATAACAGGGTGGCGCGCTCTGTTTCAGCAGCGGTTCGCTCTTCATCAAGAGTGGTCTGCAGCTTCAACATCGCGTCTTCGCTCGCTCTGGCTGCTTGGGTGTTCGCTTCATGCACCAGTTTTCGAAGCCTGTGAATATCATCCTTTTGCGAATGGAGGCTACTGACAAGTGTATCAATGACAGACTTAAATTCCTCGCCTAGGGATATGTACGAGGAATGGAGCTATAGCTATTAGCAAAATGCATAATCGATGAGATATATGCGACTTACTTGGCGATGAAATTGCCCAAGCTCATTTATTACTTCACCGGATATCCTTTCTGCTGCGGTAGAAAGTCCACTCAATCCCTCGCCAACTCTCTGTTTGACGTCTTCACGCAAAATTTTAATTTCTTCAAGGACTTCATTCATTTCATCTCGACATTCAGTTGTATGCGCCTTGGTGGCCGTTTCTACGTTCTCGAACGAAGTTTCTGACTGAGAAATAAGAGAATGACCAGCCTTGACTCGCTCTAACTCCTGGGCGACAAAATCTTCCATCCTAATAGTCAAATCTTCAAGTAATTTAGATTGTTTGTATTGGAATGTCGCTATTCGCTCGTCCACCACTTTCGACATATCCAATACTTCCGAGGTAGATGATTGCCATATTTTCCTATTCAATGTGTGCAGATCCGACCGTCGTCGAAGCTTCAAGTGGAGGCAGTCAACATCGGAAACAGACTTCCCCAGAGTCGATATCAAACGGGTTCCAATGTTATATAGGCTTTCCTCGGTTTCCTCGTGAGCTTTTCGTAGCATGGATTCTTCCTCCAAGCTCCTCTTCGTATTATTAAGCACAATGTCCGTTTTCTCCAGTAAATCTTCCGTTTGGTCCAGTAAAAGTTTGGTGGAATCATTATCCTTCTTCAGGTCATTAAAATTGCTAGTTAAAGTAAAGAGCTCTTGAACTTTATTCTTGAGGTTGGCTTCCATTGTTTCGATCTTTGCTCTTTGCTCCTCTGTAAGGATGCGACGAGACTCGCTTTCGATAGTCATTTCCTCGTATGCTGCGGACGAAAGGTAGACACCGTTTCTTTGCCGTGTCGCTATCAGCTCGGTCTTCAATTTCTCAATCTCTGTCGTAAATTCTCGAAGCATAGTTTTCTTGGATATAGTGGAGTTGATCTGGGGCTTGTTGCGAATATTCTTCGCGCGGAAAGCATAATCTAATGTTGAAATGGTTTCCTCCAGATTGCTCCTTGCGGGTGATACCGTGGCTATAATACACGTTTTCGTACGGCCACCCAGAGAATCTTGAAGCAGTCTGGTAAGTTTGGATTCCCTATGACGCGTCAGTGGGAACCACTGTGTATACTAAATGGAAACTAACCTGTAGGGTATATGAGGACCTCCATCTACCAGAGCATTAATTACCCTTCCTAGAGTGAGCAAGCTCTTGTTGATTAACCCCGCCTCGGTGGCTCTCTTATTCTCCGCGCCACTACGTTGGATATTCTCGCTGCCAGCCAAGTCCACTAGGTTAAGTTTCCCACTGCTTATATATTCTTCGCCCTTTTCGGTCTTTCTTTTGACAAACACAGTGATCGTGAACACTGTGTGGCTTCGAGAACTCAAATCATTGCATTTTGTAGCTGCTACTTGTCGTTTGTAGCTGCCCTCTTGAAGCAACTTGATACCAGCAGAAGCAGAGTGAATGTAAGTTTCACCCAGGCCCTGTACCATAGTACCGTGATTGCCTTTTTTTGCCCCATCCTCGTATATTTTCAGCTTTGTACCGTCCTCTGAGGAAAGAAGATCTCGTAGTTCCTCGTTGTACAACTCGATAAATGAGCATTTGACAGAATGTTCCATATCCTCAAGTTTTTTAAAGAGGGAATAGAGTACCCGCGGGATGATGCCAGCTGCATCTGATAACAAACCAAGCGTGTCATCCATATCACCAGACATCGTATAGGTTTTTCCAGTTCCGGTTTGGCCATATGCAAATATAGTACAATTGAATCCTGAGAGCATCTAGAAAGGTGTCTAGTTAACGAGGAGCTTGGATTTTAGTGCTAGAAGCGCACAGACAAGAGGAAACTGTACCTCATTCAAAATTGGGGCCACAACATCCTCATAAATTATTGATTGATCCGCAGCAGGAGAAAACACCTTGTCGAAGTGGTACTCTTTGTTTCCCATCGCATTTGGCCCCATGGACAGCTCTAGATTTGTCCCCTTGACTCCTTGGGTTGACACAACCATGCCGCTGTTTTCCTTGATTTCTCGATCATTCCTACCGCGACACCGTACAACAACATGAATGTTTGTGCGCTGGACGGGTTGAGGCTCAAACTCTCTTTCCTTCCGCTTCAGCCCTGTAGTTGGGTGTACGCTGGGTGATCGAATCGAACGAGTGGTATTTGTATTGGAAGGCCTGAGTGCAGTGGCTGGGGAATCTGCTCGCTCGCTAAGAATAGAGGCCCTCGTAGTTCTCTGAGGGGGCCGTATCATGCCGCTTCGCAAGCTGCGCGCAGGGGCCTGGGAGCGTGTTGCTCCGACCATGTTGGAGAAATAATCAGGGCTCGGGAATGTATCGATTAAAAGCCAGGAAAAAATGGCGGGTCTGCAAGACCGGATAATACCAGCACATAGAATGAGCGCCTATATAAATGTTCGATGAAATAAATGATAGTGGAGCAGGAAACGGTCGGGTTGTTTGCCAGAGAGGGCTTCGCTTCCCAATGGGGAAAAAGGTAAACAAACCGCTTTTTCTCTGCTTAGTCATGCACGACGCGAGTGGAGGAGATATTGTTGGCGTGTATACAGAAAACTTGACCTCGCTAAGTGCGCCACTTGACCTTGTTACATAATCATGACCCCGACCTCGCACAATACAGTAATAATCAGTTGATAATTGACTTTCAATCTTTCAATTCACTCATTCATTCAGCTCATCAATCAATCAAAGCATGTATAGCTGATTCATAATTAATTAAATAAACAGATAAATTCATATAGAATATAAAGAGATATTTTACAGAATTTTAAAATATATCAAGATAAAAATATTTAATAATTAATTTTAAATTGATTTTGAATTGATTCTGAATTGATTCTGAATTAATTATAGTAATAAAAATAGATTTAATCTGTATATTTAAGTAATTAATAATTGATTGAAAATCAGTTGATAATTAATTCAGTATTATTATTAAATTCAAGAATAATTTCAGTATTAAATTAATTTTGAATTGATTTTAAATTGATTCTGAATTAATTATTAATTAATTATAGTAATAAAATAAATTCAATCTGTATATTTAAGTAATTATCAATTAATTGAAAATCAGTTGATAATTAATTCAGTGTTATTATTAAATTCAAGAAAAATTTCAGTATTAAATTAATTTTAAATTGATTTTAAATTGATTCTGAATTAATTATTAATTAATTATAGAAATAAAACAAATTTAATCTGTATATTTAAGTAATTAATAATTGATTGAAAATCAGTTGATAATCAATTCAGTGTAAATTATATAAATACTTACTTTATTATTAAAATCAAGAATAATTTCAGTATTAAATTAATTTTAAATTGATTTTGAATTGATTGTAGAATTGATGGTAAATAATTAAGAAAGAAAGAGTGATTTCAAATTACAAGAAAATAGACTGATTACTGAGATTATAAATTTCATATTTAATCTTATTTAATCTGATCTTATACATTTCTTGATATGAATTTCACTGAGACTAGTTATTAAAAAAACATATAAAGTAACTATATATAAGATTTTAAAATGAAATCATGATATGAAAAAAATAAGAAAGTAATCTCATTTAATCTTATTTAGTCTTATTCTTAATATAAAGTGACTATTTTTAGACATTTTAAGATTTTTTTTAGACTATTTTTAATTTTTTAAAAAGTAATGCTTTTTAGTAACACTTAAATAAGATTTAAAGTCATTTAAAGCAATAAAAATAATTTAAATTGAGAAGTGAAAATCATGATCTCATTTGAAAAATGTGATAAGAGTAGATAGTAAGTCTCACTGAGACAGTATAAGACTACTATTAAATGTTAAAACTATGTAATGAGATCAGTTAAATTGATAATAAGACTATTAAAAAATCATCTGATTCTGGTTTCAGACATGGTCACACGGTCAGTCTACAAGAAAAGGTGTATTGAGCGAGGTCAGATAGTGGCACAGGCCACATTTGCAAGGTCAGCTTACATAACAAGGTCAAGTGGCGCACTTAGCAAGGTCAAGTTTTCTGCTTCCTGATTGTTGGCCGGATGCCATAGATACGGGAAGAACGTACGTAGGGTTAATTTACGGTGATTACACCGTGAATCTACCATTCCACCCGTGTCACGTGTCGCTGATTGTAACACATGTTTCACCATTATATTGTGAAAGGTGTAAAGCTTGCTTGATTGAAAAGGTTGCTATCTAGCTTGTGAGAAGTTATATGATATGTGGTTCAGAAGAACATACAACTGCTGAATAATAACGCGGCTGCTTGTGAACTTGCTTACAAATGTAAAGAGGTCATAGCAGCCATCAATTAATTTAGCATACAGTATATAAGAAGCCAGTGTACATCTGTAATTATACACTGACTTAAGCAACCTTTGAATCACATCTGATAGCATGTTTAAAAACTGATGAGAAGTGCAGGCTTCTTCAGAGTATAATAATTTCATCTATAAAGTAATTCATAGTTATCATATCAGTATAATTCTAAAAACATCTCAAAAGATAGCATACAGAGAGTGATAAGTGAAAGAGTATTTAATTAACACTGCTTCACTTATTAAGAGAAAACTTCACATTCAGGTGAATATCACATATTGTATACAAATAAATAAAGTGTGAGAAAGAGAATATAAGTGATAAATCAGATTTAAAGAAGACTACTCTCTATTTAGAAGAATAAAAGAGTGAATAATTATCACTGAAGTTATATAATAATAATAGAAATTATATAATAATATAATAATATAATAATATAGTGATATAATAATAGATATTATATAATTAATAAGAAATCACTGAAATAAATATCTTCTCTAATTAATATAAATAATACTTTTCTCTACTATCTGAACTAAAAGATATGCAGAATCTCTTAGAGAGTTTACTTAAAGCAGTAAGAAAAGCAGCTGAGATTATTAAACTGAAATTGAAGCTTTATGTATATACAAGAATTCTAAATAAAATTGAGGCCTTGTATACACAGTGACAGACTGAGATAGAAGTTAAATAATAATTAATATTCACTGCAGATCAAGTATTCACTATAAAGAGCTTTATTAATACAATTATCATTATTAATAAGAATAGAGAAAACCAGGTCTTAGATCTGTAGTAGAAGATTGAATATTTACAGATAACTATACTGAATCTGAAGATTTTATCATGATTATTTATAATCTCTTCAGAAGTATACACATCATCAGAGACTGCTGCACAGAATAAGAATTTAAATATAAAATACATCAAATCAGAAGATCTGTTAGAGTTATTAAGCTTTAATAATAATTACAAAAATGATGCTATAATCAGCTGACTAAGTCAGATGTAATTATATTATCAGATTGAATACAAACTTACAGACAGATAGTTAACAGAATTTTAATAAGTCTTAAGATCTATTATATTTCTACATGAAAAAGTAAAGTTATTATAAATAACTGATAAAAAGATGAATCTCATAGACTTGAAATAATATTCATTTTCATGAATATGAAATGAGTTTTTCAAATGAATCTTACACAACTTTAAGAAAGTAAATATATAAGATAAACATTATAAATACTTTACTGAGTATAGATAAGTGAGTAATCTTATATTATACTTCACACACTTCAGTTTACACTATCTCACATTGAATGAAGAGCTTTCAATATCTTTCTATTTATAGATCTTTATTCATAATCTTATATCTGAGTTGAGAGTGAAGTGAAAATACTTAATCTTACAGTCAGACATAGTGAAGAAAGTATATAATATTCTTATTATACAGAAATAAGTAAGTCAACTGTAATAGAAAATACTGTAATTAAGTATATCTTAACAGAGAATAGATAATCAGATTTTTACAATATAAGTTATATATCTGAATATAATGAATCTAGATTTAAATATTATTACTAAAGTATTAAATTCTCTGAAAAAGAAATTCTCTGAGTGAAAATCTTAATATTATAAGTATTAAGCTTGCTTTAACTGTGAATGTTAAAATCATAATACAAAGAATTACACACAGTATACACAGTTAAGAGAAGTAAGAGAGTTAAAAAACTAGCAGAATCAGTGAGCTTAAAGACACTCACTGATATTCTATGAAAAGTCTTTAAAGTGAAAGAGATATCTGTGTTAGATGACTCTCTAAATTCTATAAATACTAAGAGAAAGCAGGCTTCTGAATAAGATGTAGATGAGAAGGAAGTGAATACTCATCTTAATATCTTAAAACTTAAAATATTAATGTATAAGAGACACTTGAGTAAGAATTAAGAGAGGACTGCAAAAGTGTTAGCAGACACAGAAGTATTTATATAATATATTAATAATCATATAATTTGAAGACTGAAAGAGATTCACTGAGTGAAGAATCTCTGATATATAAGATTATCTGATAATTAATATTTAATATCATCTGTAAGAGTAAGAGTTCTCTTGTACTTTGAAGAATGATCTTGCTATATTTGAGTGTAAGAGCTGCAGAATATGAAATATAATCTTATTCTCAGACTTAATTGATTTCAAAGGTTCAATCTGCAGATTCAATGATACACATGTCATATACAGTTGACTGATAGAAAGAAAACAGTTTATATAATTCTATTAACTGATATAAGAAGAATATTTCATATTTCTGATATAGAAGAGTTAAATCTGCTTATACACTAGTAAGTAAACAGAATGATTTATAAGATCTCATCTGAAAGTATTCTGTATGTTATACAGAATCTGAAAGCAGAGAAAATCAAGATAAAGAATATATGAGAGAATAAGCATATGAAGAAGCTTCTGAAGAAGTATGAGAAGATCTTCTGAACAGATCTTTTATCAGAATTACTGCTGAAACAAGAATTTATACATGAGATTGACATAGAGAATATGAAATCAGTCAATCAGAATATGTACTCTCTATTACAAACATATCTTGAAGAATAGAAGTGTCAGATCACAGACCTTCTAGAATATAATCTTATATAATTCTCATCAAGTGTGTGAGGCTTTTCAGTTCTATTTATAAAAAAGATGAATGAGAAGTAACAGATATGTATCAATTATCAAGCACTTAATAAGCTTATAATGAAGAATAAATATTCACTGTCATGAATTCAATAACAGTTGAATACAGTTAAAAATGCCTGATATCTATCAAAGATTGATCTTCTCTCAGAATACTGACACATTCATGTAAATGAACTATCAGTCTCATAAACTGTGTTTAATATATAATGAGAGAAGTTTGAATTCCTGATAATATTATTTAATCTGACAAATGCATTCATTATCTTTTAAATGATGATGAATACAATTCTTCATAAACAGAATGAAATCTCATATCTTGTATATCTCAATAATATTCTAGTCTTTTCAAACTCATATAATAAATATCTGAAGTATCTTGATAAAGTGCTTATAACTCTGACAGAGTATAAGCTCTATATTAAATTAACAAAGTATGTGTTTGAAACAGAAGAGTTGAAGTTTGTAGAATATGTAGTAAGTGATGACTGTATATATCTCATTCTGAAGAAATTGAATGTCATAGTGAATTGACTGTAGCTGAGAAATGTATACTATGTAT